ACGACATCTTTGCTATCGTCGAAAAGACAAAACAGAACACATTCTACACACAATAAACAACACCACACAGAACATAACCTTCACCATGGACAAAGAACAGAACAAACAACTTACCTTCTTAGATAATCTACTTACCAGATCACATGACGGCACATTAAACACACAAGTATTCCGCAAAAATACACACACAGACCAAATACTCAACTTTAATAGCAATCACCCAACACAACACAAGATTAGTTGCATACGAACTCTCTTTAACAGTGTTAAAACACACTGCAATACAGAAGAAGCCAAGAAGAATGAACGCAACTACTTATACTCTACTTTGGTGAATTTCAATTACCCACGAAACTTTTGAAATTTTACCCAAAATCACTACCAGCAGAACATACCTACGATACCAACCACGCATTTAACTGGACAAAAACACAACTTCATGGACGCGCACAGACAAAACACGCACGAGAATTCAAAGAGGCATGGTACAGCAAAGACAACAACATAATTAACAGACATATTGACATCCCCATCATCTATTCACAACTAAAGACAAAACCAAAACAACAAACTAATAACACAACGACTAAAATAAAACACTCGAATTTCATTAACGTAATCGATACACCCGAAACCATGACAACGCATCTTATACCATCCAATAATATCAACTCCACTCCTAACCAACCAATCAGACGCTCCAAACGCCTACAAAATCTTTGTAAATAATATATTCTTACATTCTGACGAAGGCTCGAAGCACCGAGTTGAAAGCTTAATAAAATTTAAAACAAATCCAGAGAATCCTTATCATTGTCACATATATATATGTTTGTCAATTTTAGGCTATGATGGGCGCCCTGCTATTTGGTCATTTTCATTTCTCATTGCGTTTTTAAAAAGTTTTGTACTGATTACAAATATTGATGATTGTTGACTTTCAACGCGTAAAGGCTTTGCACATTACAAGCGAAGTGACCACAGCAAAATTTCGTATTTCATTGTATAATGATCGAGTTAATGTTCATGGTACACATGATATTTGTAATTTATGTAAGTTTCAAAGAAAACAGATTGAGTTGCTTCTTGTCTTTAATTTAACACAAAACTGAGCAGTAGATTAACAATTCGTCGCACTGTATGTTCTGTGTATTTTGATACATTGTCATTATCTATGACTTCATGTTAAACCACACCATGAAGGCTACACTCAATGCATTTAAGATTCGTAAGAAATTACATTTATTTGCTTTCTCCTTCACGTTTCACTCACCAAATCACCGTGACGAGAGTGTATATAACTACGTAGGCTAAATACAAGTGCAGTGCATTAAGTTCCACATAGTATTGGACCAAAACGAAATAACATTGATGTTTGCCATGACTTGTATGCACAGCTGCAATTGTTCATATTCTGATCTGTTTAGTTTGCACATTGTTACCAGCATAAACAAGGCACATAGCTATTTTGGAAAATTACATTTTATGCTACCATCAGTTCATTGAGATCAATGATGGAGATCGTGGAAACAAATTATTGCTTATCAAAACTCATATTACATTCAACGAGCAATGACTTCACATTAATCTTATCTTAAAATACTTGAGAAAATTACTGGCAATGTCAAATACTGATGATATGAGCTTCCTGATATAAGACAGCACTTCAGTTAGGTGTAGCTAATGAACAAGTATATTAACATAATAACAGTTTGTATGACATATATTCTTCTCAAAATGTGCTCCAATATATGTGCATAAAAGTTTTTTTTGTTTATAAAAGACCTTCCATAGTTGATATATTTCCTGTCTTAGTACCTGTCGTTGCACATTTGAATCATTTAGTTGAACGGATTGTTCATGGTGAAAGTTATTTTAGAAAATGATAATATATTCTTGATTAAACAGTGGGAAATATTGATAATTCTAGTTCACTACACAGATATCTCTTTTACCTAAAAATGACCCCAAAATATTTAGGGTTTTGCACGCGCCTGAAACAAGCAATTTCTAAAAGAATAATTCTACATTCAAGATAATATTTCAGATAAGCCCGTGGCATATCTATAGTTGAATTCAAGCTTCTAATTTATAATATAGCAAAACAGGCTCATCACGAATTCTTTTTTAGTATCGAGACCAAATATAAATAGATTATATTTATGAAAATCGGAAAAGGTATATGATTAAGTTTGAGCTTCTCGTATAAGTTGTGTGAAATGTGTTGCGTGGGTTTTGGTGTATGTGAATGTGATTGTTAATGTTATTAAATAGGGTTGTTGTAGTCTTGGTGTTGTTTGTGGTTCTTCTGTCCTTTTTTTCTTTAGTTGTGAAATATAAGATGGATGTCGATATTCCTGTTTATTGTGTCATTACAATTCCAAGTTTCTTTGAATTCGCGTGTGTGTTTTAGTCTGTGCGTGTCCGAGTACTTTAGTTTCTGTCCAATCGAATTTGTGATTACTTGCTTGGGTATATTCTGCCGGTAGTGAGTTCGGGTCTCGTCGTTTAATCGCGTTTTTTATTCTGTGAGTCGTGTTGTTGGGAATAAGTTATGTAATTGAATGTCCTACTGACAGAGAGACAAATTCTCCTTAGTTGTTTAATTTCGTTAACCAATAGGCTTAAAAGAATTTTGATTGATGTTTTGTTGTAAATGAGTTGAAGAGAGAGTCTGAGTGAGTGAGCGATATACGTTTTGATAAACATTGCCAGGGAATAAAATTTCGTTATTCAAAGGCTTGAGTTGTTGCATCTATTCGACATATTCAAAGGGAATATTGCCTGGGCGACGGGCAAGATTCACAAAACGTGGCACCTCCGACGGGATAAGTGAAAATAGTTCAATCAAGAACAAGAATTCGTATTGAAACATGTCGAAGCAGGAAGCTGCGGAGCTAGCGAAGCAAAACTCAAGCATATTACGATCACTTGCGGGAAAACTGAGAGAATTCTTGCGTCAGATAATCACGGGAGAATCGAAAGACATCGTGATGCGTTAAATGAATTAGTAAAGAAGCAGATACCGCCAAACGTACAGTCGAAGGGTTGAAAATAGCTAGCGGCGAAAAAGTCGAAAGCATTTCCGAGTGGGAGGAATCGATAGAAAATACCATCGGTCAAGCTGACAATGCAATAGAACAATTACGCAAGTGGCTTATGGAAGTGAATGAAAGTAAGAAAGCACATTTAAGAAAGGATCAGTTGAATTTCGAGAAAGAGTTGTATGAAACCAAGCTGCACTACAAGACTCAATTGGAAGAGTCCAAGAGGGACAAACCAGAAGAGACAGGAGAAATGAATTCTACAATTAGTGGCAATCTGGAAGCTAAACTACCAAAGCTAGTGATTTCAAAATTTAACGGAAGCTACAAAGATTGGCCAAGATTCTGGAACCAGTTCAGCGAGACTATTGACAAATCAAATATTTCCAATGTAACAAAATTTTCATACTTGAGAGAGTTGCTTGAAAAACATGTCAAGTATTCCATAGAAGCACTACCTTTCACTAGTGAAGGGTATAACCGAGCAAAAGTATACTTCAGTCAAAGTATGGAAAGGAGTCAGAAGTGATTAAAGCCTACACCAAAGAAATTCTTGACTTACCCAACATACCAGATGCCAATGTACAGAAGGTGCATAAATTCTGCGAAAGACTCACCTATTGCGTACAGTCTTTAGAAACTATGGGAAAACTGGAGCAGATCAATGGAAGTGTTGCAATGACATTGGACAAATTGTCTGGTATAAGAAGCGACTTGGTTCGTACCGATCCCAACTGGGATGAATGGGATTACATTAAGCTAATAGAAGCCTTAACATTATGGACTAGGCGAAACCCTAGAAACCCTATATGTGAAGGAGAAAGGAAGGAAAATAGAAACAGTCCCGTGAAAGAGTATTCAACACCAAATTCGGTCAGCGAAAATGTGTATATTGCGATGCAAACGATCATAAATCAGTTGACTGCTCAAAGGTGACGGATATCAACGAAAGGAAACAAATATTGGCAAAAAAGCGCCGCTGCTTCAACTGTACCGGAGAAGGGCATAGAGCAGCCGATTGTACAAGTAAAATAACCTGTCAACATTGCGAGAGAAGGCATCATACTTCTTTGTGTGAACAAGCAATGGGGAAGAAAACCCTGATGACTGCAACAAAAACCAACGAAGGAGTCTTCCCAATCTTGACTGTAAAGGTTAATGGGATCATGTGCAGAGCGTTAGTTGATTCTGGGGCTGGCAGCTCGTATGCATCTGCAAAGTTGGTAAGTGTCCTTGGCATGAAACCTGCTGACATAACAACAAAACAAGTGGACATGCTCCTGAGTAGTAGTGTAGAACGTCTGGAGACCTATGCAACTAAAGTGGAGTCCCTCGATGGAGAGTTTGGTATGGAAGTAGATTTAATTAAAGTGGAAAAAAGTGAACTTTTATCAGTAAAAAACCCCCAATACAGCCATATGATTTCCAAATACTCACACTTAAAGGGGTTGATATCCAAGATGGTGACACGAAGGCTCAGCTTCCAGTACATGTAGTTCTTGGGGAGGAGTATGCCAGAATAAAAACAAAGAATCGTCCCCGAATAGGTAAAGATGGCGAACCTATCGCGGAGTTGACCAAGCTGGGATGGTTCGTGATGTCCCCTGGAAAAGAATTTGATCACAATCATATGTTACTAACACAAACCACTCAAAAGGATTATGAGAAGTTGTGCCGGTTGGATGTTTTAGGACTTGCCGACACCTCAGAACACGATCAAACCTCAGTGTATGGAGAGTTTAAGGAGCAATTGGTCAGGAGTTCAGAAGGTTGGTACGAGTCTGGTCTACTGTGGCGAGGTAACCATCCTCCCTTACCATCTTACAAAGAAGGAAGTTTGCGACGCCTCAACAGTCTTGTAAAGAGATTAGACAGGAAGGAATGGCCAGTGAGTATAACAGGATTATTGAGGAACAAGTCAGCAAAGGGTAGTTGAACTTGTAACCGAGCCCCAGTGGGTAGGGAGTTCTACTTACCTCATAAACCCGTGATACGTGAAGCTGCACAAACAACGAAAATCCGTGTAGTTTACGATGCATCCGCTCGAGCGACTCCAAGTGCTCCATCCTTGAATGATTGCCTTTACCCAGGCCCGCCGTTACAGAATAAGCTTTGGAGCGTATTGGTTCATCATCGTTCATTTCCAGTTGCACTTTGTGGCGATATAGAAAAGGCATTCCTCCAGATCCGAATAAAAGAACAAGAAAGAGATGCCTTACGGTTTCACTGGAAGAGTGACAGTCAACCTGAACCCTTGACATATAGATTCACAAGAGTCGTCTTCGGCCTAACTTGCTCCCCATTTCTGCTTGGGGGAGTGCTAGAGCATCACCTAGAAACTTGGAAAACAAAGATGCCAGATATCGTTGAGGAACTGAAGAAATCTATGTATGTCGACGATCTGCTTAGTGGGGGACAAACAGTAGACAAAGCCAAGGAAAGGAAAAGGAAATCAATCGATGTATTCAACGACGCCAATTTCAATTTACATAAGTGGAACTCAAATGCCCATGAGCTTGAAGCAGATGAAGAAGAAAAGGATGATGAAGAAGAAACTTTAGCAAAACAACAACTTGGAACTAAATCTGGAGAATCTAAAGTGCTGGGACTGTTATGGAAAAAGAAAAGTGACGAGATTTCCATAGTGATCCCATCAGAGAAATCGGCAAAAACGAAACGTGAAGTACTGAGTAGATTGGCTCAGGTTTATGACCCTTTGGGAATTACATCACCCTTAATTCTAGAGGGAAAGATAATTTATCGTGATATCTGTAAGGAGAAGCTCTTGTGGGATGTACGGCTAAGCCATTCTTTGAAGTATCGATGGGACTGCTGGGAGAGCAATCTTCCGTGTGAAGTAAGTGTTCCGCGATCATTAGCTGGGTTCCGAGAACCAATCAAGTCTTTAGAGCTGCACGCATTCGGGGATGCTAGCACACAAGGTGTAGGAGCTGCAGTGTACTCAGTTATTCATCAAGAATCGGGAACTACTCAAATTCTAGTTGCTGGTAAAAGTCGTCTGGCAAAGAGGACCTAACTGTTCCACGGCTAGAACTTGTGTCAGCCCACATGGCAGCGAACCTTCTTGTGAATGTGCGAAACGCTTTGGATCATTTGTCACGGCCGCAAAGTTTTGCATGGCTAGACAGCACTGTCGCCTTGCATTGGATACTTGGACGGGGCCAGTATAAGCAGTTTGTCTCAAACCGTGTCCGTAAGATACACCAACATCCTGAAATAAAATGGCGATATGTACCCACATCCGAAAATCCTGCAGATTTGGCCAGCAGGGTGGGAAATTAAATCAGACGTGGCTCTACGGTCCAGAATGGTTATCTGATATGAGCAGATGGCCAACTAATATAACCACAACTCCAACTACTGCAACAGAAGCAGAAGCGACAGTCTCCCAAAAAAGTATCGCAATGACAACAAAACAGTACAGTGGTGATGTTCTGGAACAGTTATTAAGAAAATGCTCACTTAAACGAGCTCTAAGAGTGTCGTCATGGCTCTTCAGGTTCGTAAACAATTGTACACAAGGGGAAAGAGAACAGGACCATTATCCTTTACCGAGATTGAAGAGGCTAAGATGAAATTTGTCAAACAAGCCCAAAAGCAAGGTCAATTACAACCAAAGTACGAGCAACAATGCAAAGAACTTAATCTTACGCGCAATACAGAAGGGATTTTAGAATGTCGTGGCCGAATTGTGGGTCAGTATCCTATCTACCTTCCACAGATTCCTTGCTAGCTCAAAGAGTAGTGGAAAAGTTGCATCGTGAAACGTTACATGGAGGTGTTGGATTGACAATGGCTGCTGTAAGAGAGACGTATTGGATACCGAAGTTAAGAAGCCTTGTAAAGAAAGTTAGAAAGGAGTGTTTTGGTTGTAAAGATATCGAGCGACATCAGTTCCACACCCTCCTGGAAAGTTACCCGAGGACCGGACTTGTGGCGAAACAGCGTTCGAGGTGATTGGCGTAGATTTCGCGGGACCAATACGTTACAAAGGGAAGTCAAGCAAGGATTGCAAAGCGTATCTGGCGCTGTTTTCATGTAGTCTAACTCGAGCAGTGTACTTGGACATGATGCCGGACCTATCTGCTTCCACGTTCATACCAAGTTTGAAACGGTTCATTGCTCGGAGGAAGACCCAGGAAGATCTATTCAGACAATGGGGGCACCTTCATAAAAACTGCGAAGTGGATTGATACTTTACGAAAGGAGGAACGTCTTCAAGGTTATTTGGAGGAATTCGACATTAAATGGCAGTTTAACTTGTCCCGAGCACCATGGTGGGAGGGCAGTTCGAGCTGATAGGAATTGTCAAACAAGCGATGTATAAGACAATTGGAGGCGCAAATCTGAAGTGGGAAGAACTGTGTGAAGTGATACTTGACGTTGAAGTGCAAATCAATAGAAGACCGCTCAGTTATGTTGAAGACGATGTTCAACTGCCGGTGTTGACACCCGAGCTCTTTTTATTCCAGAGATCCAATCATCTGCCAGAACAGAAATTATGGGTCGAAAGTGATCCGGACTTACGTAAGAGGGCAAGATACTTGAAATCTTGCAAACAAGCCTTGTGGAAAAGATGGTCGAAAGAATACCTCACTGCACTGCGAGAACGACATAACATGAGTCATGGGACTAAAAGTTCATTGTAAACGTAGGAGACGTCGTGCTGATCAAATCCAACGAAAAGAATAGAGAAATGGCCTCTTGGGATCGTTATAGAGACATATCCAGGAAGAGATGGAGTGATACGTGGGGTAATGTTGAAAACGCCAAATGGAAACCTAGAACGACCAGTTCAATTGCTTTACCCAATGGAATTAGCTTGTGATCGACAGAGCCATGAAGAGAGACCTGATCTTAATCCAGACGCTCAACCATTCAAGCCAAAGCGTAAGGCAGCTGAAAATGCAGCGGGGATCATCAAATCGATTGCTGACGAAGAAAACGAAGAGATTTGAAACACTTCCTAGAACAGTAATCCATTTAGATATACATCTTATCTTCAGATGTATAGGGGGGAGTGTGTTGGGAATAAGTTATGTAATTGAATGTCCTACTGACAGAGAGACAAATTCTCCTTAGTTGTTTTAATTTCGTTAACCAATAGGCTTAAAAGAATTTTGATTGATGTTTTGTTGTAAATGAGTTGAAGAGAGAGTCTGAGTGAGTGAGCGATATACGTTTTGATAAACATTGCCAGGGAATAAAATTTCGTTATTCAAAGGCTTGAGTTGTTGCATCTATTCGACATATTCAAAGGGAATATTGCCTGGGCGACGGGCAAGATTCACAAAAGTGTTTCAATTTTCTTTCATGCTTCTCCTGTGTATTGTTTTAAGCAATTTTTGCATGATATCATGTAAATCACATCGGTTGTATCATGGATTGTTGTTTTGTCGTGACTGTTTGAAATTCTTAACATTATTAAAGACACATATTTGGTTGAAATTGAGACTGAGTGGTAATGCTTTGGCGCTCTCAAAGCTCTATATGATACTGGTTTCCTGTTATAAGGAGAGCACTTGATATAGGTAATTTAATGTAGAATATTTAACATTACCTCAGTTTCCATGACATTCTATTCACTACGAAAACTATGTTCTAATTTGTGACAAAAGTTTTTTGTGATTGTAGACATTTCTTAGTTGACAAATTTCCTGTCTTAATGCCAATTATTTTAGATATATGTGTATCAGTTCATACTAATAAGCAAATTGTTCTAAAGATGTTCTTTAAAAGAGTGTGACAAAATGAACCAAGGATACACAATGCAACAAAAGAATGGTCAAAGAATGCAATTTATATCTAATAAAACATTTGTACTGCAAACACTTTTGACGGTTCGTATATCTATGTTCATAAAACGCAATAGTAACGTAAATTTCAATACATAAGCAAGAAGATAGAAGCCTTGATTGAAATCGTCGATTAATTTTTAAATGAACACAATCAGCTAGAGATCCACATTTTGATATGATTACGACAAAAACCTGTAAACCAAAGCAAGAGGCCCATGTGAGGTTTTGTACAATGTTATAATAGTTGTAAGTGGAATAAACAAGTCTATATTTCAACTTTTGAATAGTAGGTGCAATTATACAATAGCAAAGATTTTTTTAAGTAGCCAGTATTCATCAGTATTCACGCATGATAATGAAATTATAGCATTTTATTTTATTTGTGTAAAATCACGTAAATTATCAAGAAACTTCGAAGGTCGTGTTGGTGTTCGACATTCATATTAGCTATAGTTTAAAACAACTTGTAATGTATAAACTTATTGCTATAACACGAAATAGAGACAACAACGTTGTTTGCCAAACTAATAATAAGTCCTGATATAATTTATAACAAGTGCTTTTGCTATCTGATATACAATTACAAAATCATGATATAATACTTTCAGGAACAAGTTATAAAACAAGACCTTCGAAACTTTACTGTACAAAGTTATATCATAGCAACGTAATCAGTATCGGAAACTAACTTGTAAATTGTGACATCTATAAATCAACTGTCTAGTACACTATAGCGTAATTGAAACATCAAAACATCCTTTGTCTGCATATTGTTTTAAAAGCTGATATTGTTGAAGTATTGCGGGGAAATTTCATTAAAGTACTTAGTTTGCTAACTTTAACAATGTTGTCATAAACATGATCATTGGGTTAGTATGAAATAATATCAGAGATTTATCTGGAAATATCATTGATATTACTTAGTATGCTAATTTTTACGATGTTTTAAAAAAGACAGAATGTCGAGGTATGGCCAACTTAAATCATGGTACATGTATCCAGAAAGGGTGTTTTTTTTTCAAAAGAAAACCGGTTAAGCTTTTTGTAGGAGTACAACAGGCTCTAAATAGGTTTTTTGACACAACTTTCAACATTTTCGGGTTACCAAGTAAACACATTGTCAAATTATTATCATTTACACTTTGAACCACTTTTCGGACGACACGCAAGGTTTTGAAGCATTGATAATGACAAGTTTAATAAAAGCTTTTGTTATATAGTTGTAATATCAATAGGACTCATGATAAGTTAGCGTCAGAACCAAGCTCTAAAACATCAAATCAAAACAGCTTTATTTTCGTCTCGTGTTGTGCATAAGTTAAGATGTCTCGCAATTTGAAAATTTGTGTTTTGAGTTTATGGGGGAAATAGTGTAGGGGAAAAACATTGAAAATACTTACTATGATATTATGGGGGAAATAACATTGAAGTATGTGGTAAATAGTAGAAAATAGCAGTCTAGTATGACGGAAATAATATGAGGGGAACTGTCATCAAAGATTCTTAGTATTCTAATTTTCACGCTGTTTTAATAAACATGACCAATAATTGTGATTATAAAATGTGAATGCCTTCAGTTGGAAGCCACTCTTAACTCAGACTTTCTCGTTAATAGAGTACACGAAATAATTGCTGAATTGAGTCGACATCATGAAATTACACATATCTGTTGCGCTAGTAGCTATCGTCATCATGGTAAGAAGATTAAGCAAAATTTTAAGTAAAATTTTTCAATGTAATAGCATGCACCCTTAAGTTTTAGTCCACATATTTTTTACAAGCGTTAAAACATTGTTTTTATAATTTTTCACAGATTAACTTTAAAAGTAAATTCTCATGTTTTAACTAAGATACTTATCATTCAGCTTTTATTTGTTCGTCTAATATCATCTAATAATTTCTTTGAATGTATTCGACTTGTAGACGCTTTCTGCTGATGCAGTTGTTAGAAGAAGTAAGTATACAATTTCATTTTCTAACATTGACATGTGTGAGTTTTGATCATTTCTAAAAGGCTGTTGTTTCTTATTGTGTGATAGCACTTCCGTAGGACTTATTGATAGCGTTCTCATAATTTTAGCTTTTGTCAAAGGCGCTTTTATTGTGATCTATACAGATTTAATTATTAGGAAAAATTTCTCGGCTTTTATTTATTCAGTGTTAAAACTTACGTTGGTCAACTCACAAGAGCTCGTCGTGAGACAGACAATTAAAGAAT